TGGTTTCATTTTTCAAAAGAAAATTTTAATTTTATTTGTTTGATAGATATTTTGTATGGATATAGAGAAGGAGGTAAATGGAAATCACAATTGAATTGATCAAGTTACATTTATTTGTACGCATAAATACAATTATGTCAATTTTTATTTATTTTTTTTCCAATGTACATAGTTTTTACAAGTAAGAATGTGCTTTGAGCAATTGTTTTACAACTTTTAAACATCATTAAAATTTTTGTAACTCTAGCTTCATTTCGACAATATATCACTGAACATATATTTAATAAGAAAGAATCATTACCTTTATCGCCGCAATTATCGTTGCTATAAACAATTGACACCACATTCACTGCACTTTATACTTGACGAAAACATGTAAATGTATTATTGTATAGCAGCTGCCCACGCGGACGCATCGCTCACTCAAGTAGGAGAGAGACAGATGTCGAACGCTGCCGAACGCGGAGGCCGATTGTGCCTCTTTGTCGCTCGTTCGGCGCTCTCCCTTGCACTTCAAGCCTTAAATGGAACGCCTCAGAGCGAGGTAACGACGCATGAGTCATGTTTTTTCATGCGTGCAGCCGGGCTCCATCGAATTATAAGACGTTGTCACGTCAAAAAGAAATAAATAATTAGATTATGCTAAGTCTATGAGAAGAAGCTTCCAATGTGTATTTCAAATTTTGACCAAATGTAACGCTTACTAAATGCTTTCCTTCACTTTTCAGCAACAACAAACAATAAAACGTTGTTACTCTTATTCGTTATATAATAAAATCACAGAAATATATTGGTTAATAAGTTATGAAAGAGACTGTTGGCTTTGATATTTTATTTCAGTTTAGAAGATGTAGATAATAGATAATTTGAATTCCACCATTTATCAAATAAAATGTTTTCATCTCAATTTGCCCTGCGTAGAAAGCTTCCGTCCCCTTTCAAAGTTATATTAATAGGATGGTGAGTTGGTTAGTGTCGAGACACGTCTTCAATTCGCTATCCCTTTAAATGAACCTAAAATAGATTGACATGCCTGCAGAAATCATAAGTTAGGATAAATTGGTTAAATAACGAAAACT